CAAACGTCGACAAAGGATAGTCATCAAAAGAAAGACACCGAGTACTTCTGTAAACAGGTTTGCATATTGTGAAGAACAGTTATGTGGTAGTCGAGGCATGTTCCTTATCGAAAACATGACACTCGGAAAATAAAGAGTTAATGTTGCTACATAAAACAAATCACAACACATATGTACCATGGAGAAGTCTAGTTATATCACGTTAAATACTAGTCTGACTAATCGCGCTCCTGGCGGCCGGCCGCCCCGAAGTTGCCGCCCCCCCATCTTGGGGTGGAGGTCATTAACCTCCGGCCGAGAGCTTGTGTAACACAGGCTAGTTACATGCTACATGGGAGGGTGCCCCCTGGGTGAGTCTCCACAAGACTCCTATGTTGCTAGCTAGCGCTGGAAGGTATATTGGTGAAACGATGTACCAGCGGAGTTAGACGACCATGGGAGTACACTTTGTAACCCACGGAGTCATTGGGTAGTCACCATTTTCTATATAAACTATATAAAAGTAATCCACCCTTTATTCGATCAAAGCAACCAGTTCAGCGTTGAAGACAATTTAAGAAATTCATAAAGTAACCGCTAATCCATCCGGCATATTACGCAGTGTGTTTGGCCAACCTCTGCTATTTTCCAGCAGCCCATTTGAGTGTGGTAGAGACTATGAGTCACCTGTATCATCTGTCCCAACTCTCCGTCCACTGTCAGCCGGACGTGGTCCTTCTGGGAAGAGATGCCGGACGACCTCTCGTTCCCAGAGGTCGTGGGACGCATTCTTCACGTGGGGAAAGAACGGCACTTCTCAGTGTTCATCATAATGTGGCGCATCAATATAGCATAGACTTTCAGTACTAGTAACATAGGATGGACAGAGTGACATCCTCTACACTGTCCACAGTCCACAAACACATAAACAAACGGCACCGAAAGCGTAAGCACCTTGGCGAAGGTAAAAAAAAACCAAAGAACTAAAATAATTTTTCGTCCATAACACCCCGCCACAGCAAAATCCACCTTCCATCTATTAGTACTAGTATCTAATTGTGTTGTCATTGTGTAATCACTGCTGTCTTATTTGAATATCTATAAAATCAACGCAATTCAGAAGTTTACCAATGTTGATAGATATAAAGTTGACAAAAGTGTTTTTCTCTACGACAGACATCATATGTACAGGCATAGCTCACGCGGTGTCTTCCACAGACTCACCCGCGCTTGTAGTGCAGCCGGACCGTGCCGCGGCCCCGCTTCCGTACGGTCATGAAGATCTTAGTGTACATGGCTGTCATCAGGACCAGGGGGATGAAGAACGATCCCACGGATGAGTAGATGGAGTACTCGAAGGAGGCGTTGATGTCGCAGATCCCGTCCAGATGTTGGTCGTCCTTCCAGCCGAACAGTGGAGGCACGCACACCGCCAAGGACAGCAGCTACAGGACGGCAGTCATGCAAGGGACCAGGCACATTTGTCTTACGAACGTTGTACGATCGCAAACTGAGGATAGTCTTGGGATATATATGGTCGTGCATATGTTGTATCCACCCATCCATCCATCCATCCATCCATCAATCAATCAATCAACCGATCAACCGATCGATCGATCCGTCAGTTTATCACACCATACGTTTTAAACAGACGGCGTTGCAACATACATTTTAACATATACTTCTAAATACTGAGAAAATGAGAATCTAGGACACAACAGGTTAGATGCCATCATAGTTCCCAGTTTCAGTTATATTGTTTGGTCAGGATAATTAAGACCGTGTGGTTTTCTGGCCTGGTCCAGCTGTCGGTAAACCTTCCTTTATGTCAGACATCATTATTTCCTACATCTACCTGCAGCCTGCCTTTCAACAACCTGTAATAGACCAATTATTTCTTCAAATGTCAGGCCACAGATTTAAAAGGAAATCACCATTCCTATCAACCTAGGGAAATGACAAGCGCTTTTCTAGCCCAAAGCTGTAACTGGTGTTTTGTTCGGTTAGAGTCTGCGGCATGGAACAGTTGTGAATAGGCATTATATGTATTGACGACTATTTCGTTTCTAAATGAAAACACCTACTGGGATGAGAGAACATGTTTGCAACAAACACATTTGCAAGAGGGATACTAAGCTTAATAGGCATGATTGCGACGACGTTAAATTAACTATTTCACTGACGATTTCACCTACCTATAGAATAAGCGCACAAAACCACACACACTTCCAAGTAACGATCGCAATATGAAAATTTACACACTCTTTACATATACAATATGATAAACAATACAAAACCATCGCCATGGCAATTACCATTTTAATTGCCAGCCTGGTTCCCATTGTGTAGCTGCAGTCACGCTCTGAGCACACCCTGAAATTTTCTTACGTAAGGAGTGAACCAAATTCCCAGCTGACACACGATACTTGATTTTCCCGCAGGTTGTTTAGAATTGTCAAAGCCTTCCGTTACATAAGCCTGAAAATTGGAGTCGATCCTTCCAGTCACCATGTGTTTTCAAGGGGCTGAATTCTTCCTGTTGTGATCATGTCTTGCAGTTACCACACCCACACTTGCATGATGCTGTACGTGCACACCCATGGCCATCCTCTGTTTGACGATCTTGTGTAAATCGTGTAGATTTCGACTTCAACAAATTAAACCCCTGAACACAGTGTGCAGGAAGCCGCACGGGGTGTCTAGAATCCAGCGTCAGGGTTTGTCGATGTCTTCGCCTATATGAGAATTTCGGTCCCTTTACTTTATACCAAATTTGATCAAAAGGTTTGGTTTTTATACCAAAGGTTGAAAAATTGCGATACACATTTCGGAGAATCGTTTTTGTCATGTTGAAACCTAAAGAGTGCCTCCGTTGTACCCAACTTGAACGTCTGACACCGTTTGTGGGTTTGAATCCCTATACATATACTTACAGTATTTCCTCACTCGACTCAGCTGAAAATAAGTGCGAGCTTCGGTACGGGAGTCCTCTCTGACGGGACGTAAAGCCAGAGGGCCCATATTTGAGGAGCACATGAAAGAACCTTCGCCGTGTGACACTTAGGAAAAGAGCGGGGGTCCATCCCGGTGTGGGTGGTTCAAACGTTACAGTCCAGTTTTACACAGCGCGTACTGTAAAACTGTGTGCTACAGCTAAAGGTGATTTACCGATTATGAGAAACACACAAACAAACGAACGAACAGAAAGCAAGCAGACATACTGACCCAGGCCACGGTGATCATGCCGCACACCCACTTGGGTTTCCTCTTGTTGGCGTGTTTGATGGGGTTGGTGACGGACCAGAGCCGGTCCAGGCTGATGAGGCACAGGTTCCAGATGGACGCCGTGCAGGCCAACACGTCCATCATCAGGTAAACCTCGCACCACACTCGCCCAAAGTACCTGGTCAGAACCAAACAACACATTTATTAGCCTCTACCAGGCAGTCATGGATAGAATTCGGCAAAACCAGGGTCAGTACAGATGTATTTGACCAGGAGAATGAGTCACGGTAAGAGTGAAATTCCGCTAACTGTGAGGGAAAATGAACTCTATGGTGGACAAATTACCCTAGAAAAGTATTCTGCCTCAGCCTGGAGACTATACATACATATATACCCTCTGGACTTGGATTAAGTACAGGTCACAACAAAAGAATAGTTTACAGATACATTTAACGTCATACATTGTCACGTACAGTACAAGTACACGTACTACTGGTCTAGTAAGAGATTTTGGCTTCACATCGCTTGTTTCTTATGTTGGAAATCACGGAAAGAACAGATACGTTTTATTATCAAGCATACTATGTGACTACTACAGAAATACTGTGTAGTATAGCACATAATGATATGTTATTTCTGGCATTGAGGTATTTTGAAAATATTGTCTTATACGTACAATGCATAGGCTGCCTTATGTTAATACAATTTGTAATTGAATCCATTGAGACAGAAATCCTGCCTTAGAAGGCGATAGAATTGTATATAGTGAATTACGCATATCAAAATGTTTGGGACATACAATAAGTGATATTTGTCTTCTATTAGTTCTGGAAAAAATGGACTAACCAGTATCCCATGATCTCATTGGCCAGTGAAAAGGGCATGATGAGCGCGCCCACCATCAGATCGCACACCGCCAGCGACACCAGGTACCAGTTCTGGACAGCCTGGGGGAGACACAGAGGTGGGAAGGCAGCCTTGTATAGTTACGGTAACCTAGAACCGTAAGATTCTGGGCTCGAATCTCTAGTAGGCCCACCTGTCGTGCCTTTGGGGAAGACACTTTACACCTATTTTCTCACTCAACTCTAGTGAAAATGAGTTTCTTGCCTCTCGGATGGGACGTAAAAGAGGTCATGTTTTAGGGGAGAGCCATGCCTCCAGAACGTTACAAAATCCCAGAACATAAAAGAGTAGGAATCCATCCCCGTGTAAATCGATAAAACCTTACAGCCTGTTGGTATTATGTAGCTTATAACTTACTGTACAGTTTTTTTAACCGCCCCTAATCAGAGCAACAAATCAGATCGGTGTGGTCTAACATTGGCATTGATCAAATCCAAAGACGTGTCTCGTCGGGTTTTCGAGTGGATGTTTTACTGGAAACTAGAGTTATGATTTTTTTCAACGATGGAAGTGAATAAACATTTCGACTCAATCTGGAACCTGTGGACCCGGTGTTGTTGAAATATAAATAGACTCACGAAGCTCGTGTCAAAAGTACGCACAGCATTACCATGTGGCACAAACACATGTTGAACGCACTGATATATTATTTTCCACAAAGGTTTAGATACTCGAACAACTAAAGATTATCAAAATACATAGCTGACATTAGTTTGAAATACATAAAAATGTGAACGTTGAATTGTTAAATACGTGTATTCAATAAATTCCCAATGATTGGGAGAGATACTAGTTGTGCGTAGCGTAGAAGATTGCTCTCTAAGCATGGGGCTGAAATAAAGACGCCCTACAATAAGCCCTCTATTGTATATGTAGTTAGCATTACATTGCCCCCTGCTAAGCTTTTGCGGTTTGCATGATTGTAACCCGGGTGTCTGTCACCCGCCCTGTGCCTGCACCTGTACTAGTCTCTGCCAAGCTCCAATGAGTTGCTGGAAAATGGTAGAAATCGGGTAAAATTATGCATGATAAACCAGGAGTTAGCCAGCCATAAGAGTACACTCCATGGGTACTCCGTGGGCAAAGCGTTCTTCTATGGTCGGGGTAACAACTCCTCAGCTATGTATCATTAAGTCTATTGGGCCAATTTCTACTGTTTTGCAGTATTCCATTGTGGGCAGAGACTACACCTATATCACTTTATGTGACTCGAGAAGAAGACTTCTTGTACCCACCTTAAGCGAACTGCCGGTTTGTTTGTTTATTATCGACCTCCATTAGTAAAAAAAATCAAGCACATGTTTACTAATATCCCACGAGTCCTCTCTTATACTACCCCGGTAATACCAACGCAAAGTTTAAACGGTAATTTCCAACACAACATGTTGCAGTTACCCGAATTTTTGACTGTACAAACTGAAGCTAAGATGCGCTGTGTCGGTGTATTTTTGCCTGTGTACCCACCTTTAGCGAGCGGTCCTTCGCCACCGCGGCGCAGACCAGGCAGTTCCCGGCGATGATGCCAACCATGGCGATAATACCCGCCACGGTGACAGACACCGCTTCAGGGTAAGGCTTGGGTAGCGCAGAGAACACGGACGCCTGCCGAGTAGTCCATACGGTCGTGTTCACCACGACTGTCGCGTTCGCCATGTCGTACTGTCAGCCGGAGCCGCCGGTGCGCTTCTAACCTCCCGGTAACAAGCTTGGAAATGTGAAGAGAAAGAAAGGGAGACGGCTTTAATAGCACTTTCATCTGAAGGGAAGAAACGCCGCATCTGTATTTAACCACCGGGCATAGAAAATGTCATTACTTCCTAGGAAATACATTGTAATATCAATGGCTGTCGGCAAACACAAAAGGAGAGATACTTTTGATTATATATATAATGACGCACAACCCCCGGAGTGTCTCCGGACATGTTAATGATAAAAAACTACAGGATGTCGCCTCTTACTGGGTTAGTCTCAAAAGTCAAAAGTGTTACATTTCTAGCCAACATTCTCTGTTGTATCAATGTTAAATGTGGCAGAAGTGATGAAATGTTTGCAAAGAATATTATTTTTTTTACAGGACGTATTGGGTCATATGGAACTTCTGAACAACTTAACTGAAAATGAAAAGATAATGCATTTCATACACGAGCAATACTCTATGCCGCCAAATAGATGTAGTGTCTTTTAGAATACGATGTACATGTTCAAAACATGTTAAGATAAATCCTAGGGTCCATTTTGTCAGGCAGAGATAATTCTGGTACGAATGGTCCATTTTTTCCAGGGGTGCGTTTGGAAGAGTCCATTCTTGAACGGAGGGTCAGATTGGGGAAATTCCAAACTCCATAATTATGGTGGGTGCTTTAACGTACTCTAGGTATGGCTCTCCCCAAACACGGAACAGTAGCTACTCGTGGTGAAGCCAAAACTGTCAGATGAATACTTAGGTGAGCCACTTACTGAGTTATAGCGGACGTCAACACCATTTAAAACTCAAGTCAAAGGCTGTTGAAGACAAAACATGTCATAAAAGGTGAAGGACGCAGCTTCCTACCACGCAAGTAACAAGCTCGAATAGTAACACTTATGGTCCGACAGGTCTAACAGGAGATCCTTGTTTTTCCTCATTTTACAATTCAAATGCTCATTCATACGCAGGATTCACTTGACTCATTCCCACTCATTGATGAAGGTAGCGGATGCTATCTCAAACGCCTGACTCTGCTGATTCCTAGGAGCTTGATTCATTTTATATTTTGTAACATACAAGCTTGAATAAACAGCTTTTGACCCATTTGATGTCTTTGAACCTTACCTGTCTGAATCGACTATTTCTGTATGTGGTAGAGGAGGTAAAGTGTTTGCCGTGCACTCGGAAGGTCTGAACCAATGTAGAGGCTTACATTTGAATAGAACACACAAAAAGGTGAATGGTTGGAGCAGATCAGATTGTAATGTTTTCTTCATTTTCATACATGTGGAGAGAAATCGTTGCCGTACGTTGATTTGCAAACGACTGCACCAAATGCAAATTGATTGCTGGCGCACTCACTCACTCATTCATTACTGGTGATGACTGAGATCATGATAGTTTGAATGAATTGAAGCAGGCGTATGCGGTATCCCTGGTAACGCATAATCAGTTTCAAACGGGCTTCGTCCTTGGCTTTTTTAACATCCCCGGCCCGTGTCCAGCCTTCCTGTCCATGGTGCTGAAACAAATATTGTTCTGAGGGAAATCCGCTTCTACACTCTGTACAAGTTGCGGCGTACTGAAAGTCATGTGTTAAAAGGTAAAAATCTTCAATCTTCAAATGCTTCAATCAGAACTTTAAAGTCCATCCATTTCACGACAACACAGGATTCTAATAGGAAGAGACTTACCCTGCGGGGCTGTATCCTGCGGGGCTGTTCCTGTACCTCACAGCTGGGTATCAAACATGCGCCGTACTTGTTGGCGGGACCGGGTCTTGGGAGCGCACCAAAGCTAACAAGACTGACCTCCAGGCTACACAGGAGCTCTGGAAGTTTGTTAAAGGGATTGGCTCCAAATCTTGGTACTTACATGATGCCACAATGCCTTAAATAACCAGGAAGAACAGAATCCGGCAACACCTTCCAATGCTTTATACGGCGCAGTCATCATACATGTTGTAGCAGGATGTGACATATATAACAGGCCGCTGACAAGGACTTAAGACAGCCCGTCATTAAACAAACAGCTGAATTTTGCAAGACACGTGTACGACTATCACAAGAATGCTTTCGTACGACGATCGCACGACGTTTGTGACTGGGCACTGTGGTTGAAGGAATATCCGATCCTATTAAAAGAAGATAAAATCAATGCTGAGGCTGACGCAAACACTCCTATCTCGTCCTCTAGGAAACGCAGACCACAACAGCACAGCTGGAAGCACTCATTATATTCTAGACATCAGAACTTCATTTACATAGAGAGCGCGCAATTGAATCGTGCCCTCTAACACAATCATGTTGCTACACGAAAACAACCTATAGAGTCCAGGAAGCAGCTGGTTGCACACTCGTGCCTCTGGCAGTGCTTTAGAAATCCTACTTCAGCCACCTTCGGTGAAGGTTTGGACAGCCCGTGTTTCAACATGTGACCCTCAATTGCTTCATTGATTCAATTGTCATGGAGTAAGAGCGGTACCAGACCCTTACACGACATCAAAGACGCGTTATTCCGTTTGGGTACAGTATGTATGTGCTAAATGTCAAGATGGAACATTCTTTGAAATATGCATGGAGTTTATACATGAACGTCAAAACGTCAAAAACCAGCCGTACCTTTCCTTATAAGTTTATTTTTATTTTATTCACATGGATTTTTGAGCATTGGATAGGAAGCACTTGTTGTGCTTATGTAAATCCGCTGCTCATAAAACATAATACAAATGTAAACATAAAGATGACATAAAGTATAGCATTAACATAAAATGAAAGTGGCTGGCGCACCAATACCTAGCATAACATTATTGAGATTGGTCAAATCTTCCAGAGTAGTGGATATAGTTAAACACAATATCAAGTTATAATGAAATCTTTCCTCAAGAATACACTGCCGATATAACGTTAAAGAGGAAAGCTTGCAAAGCTAGTTAACAAAGCTTTGAACCATAATATCAGGTGGTGACATTGTGCGATTAAATCAATTTTTATATGTTGAGAATTTCAACACTTTATTTTATGTACCTTCGTTTTAGTGTTCAGTGCACGAGTAATTATTGTGTTTAATTTGATAAGCAGGCTTTCGTCTATATTCCATGGCTGTGAACTACGGTTATAGTAATTCATTCATACTTAGTAGTTTTATAAACTTGATGAATATCAATAAGTTTTAAATGTAAAATCAATACGTTTTACATTAATTGGAATGATGGAGTGAGGCTGTGATCGAAATGCCTTTGTTTGTACAGTAAACATCAAATTCGTTCATCCATCCATCCATCCATCCATCCATCCATCCATCCATTCATTCATTCATTCATTCATAAATTGCACCGTAAGTTTCCTCCGGATATGTTATGGCTTAGCCTCTACCAGGTTTCGGGAAACGTCTGGAAAGAGTACCGAACGTTGTGTGCTGGGCGTTCTTCCTGTGCTTACAGCACAAGTACACTTAGTTCCATTTCGACTAATGGCTCCAGGTTATCATTTGACAAATGTTCAGATGTCCATGTTTTCAAATATCTACCACACTTTCCCGACACTTCAGTAGCACGCTCCCCTGCCCGGTCGTGACCACTTCAAAGTCCAGTGGCACATAACAAGGCACAACCCTAGCTGCGGCAGATGGACAGTTTCCTATCCGGCTTGTTTCGTAATCTCCAATATTGGCCGCCTGTTTCCACAGGTTGTCGTGGTGAAAAAAGAGCCCCCTTGCCCCCACAGAAGGTTAGGCCTGCTTTGGACGTCTTTAAATCCATCTTAGTCGTCTTGCCGGGCTTTCTTTTTTATCGGCTTTTCTTTAGGAATCCTACCCTCTGCTAAGAAAATGCCCGAAACCTACCTAACCTCCACTTGGAGAGCAGTTGTTTTCATGTGCACGTCTTTCAAACGGCCCGGCCCATCGAGCTCCAATAGACGGATAGCGGAAACGGACAATCTGCTTAGAGGTCCATATTGTCCAGCCACATACGGGGTATTTGCTATGCTGGCAGTTTGATTGTATTTCAGTCCATGCCATGCCTGGATGAATTTTTATGTCATGTTTCTTCTTCCTCCTCCTTCTCCCGACATTTCGTTGAATGGATTAAATTTCTTCATTTTTGGCCCAAATGATTTGACACTTGGTATGAAGATAATTATTGAACCAAATGACCTAAAATTTGGTAAGAGGGCAGCTGAAAGAGTTAAGGTTCAATGTAGATCCTCGAGACAAATTTCATAGCCAACTTATGGAGCGGTCAGATTCATCGTAGTGCGCCGTACGATTTTGATGTAGTATTTTCAAGCAGACTGTGACAACCAGCCGCCGACAAGGATCTAAGGCAGCCTCTTCCGTAACAACTGAATTTTTCACACCAGTATCTAAAGAATGTGATCAGTTTGTGATCATGCGATGATCGCACGACGTAAGTGTCACAGATTTTGTTTATCCGTTTTCATCATGGACCCGATTAAAAATGGTGGCCACATACATTTAAATTTTGATTGGTGATTTTCGTGCTGTCATGCAGCATCCTGTACCTGCAGCGCGCGTGTCAATTGGTTTCTAATTCTATCATTCCCACTGTCACGACTCACGAATGCAGAAGTCATTGAACTCCAACGAATATGTCGTCATCAGAGCCTGTTGATTTGTAGATGTGCCCTGTCCTTGGTACTGATGTGGGAAACGTGGAACAGTACATTACGCATGATAAATCATGGAAGAATGAAAGACATTTATTGCATGTTTATGCTCTTACAATCTAAGTACAGGTCATCGTGATAAAGCGGTTCTATATGTATATGTATAAAGAGTGCGGTATCTTACTAAACCTACAATGGATAATATCTCTATCTATCTGTACAGCCGGTATAACGCACCGGCTTGACGGACATACTATTTTTTTCAACAGCTCTGGAAGAACAGGTGTATGAATGAGTGAGTGAATTTTTTTAAACAGGTAAGTAGAGCTTATGGTAAGACGGGCCATTTACAAACATAGAACGGCCGACGTATTCTATTTAGGATCATGGGATGACCTAATTTAGAGTGAGAGTGAATGTCGCTCTGCAACTGACTCTTTCTAAAGGACTGTTTCGTCAAAATTATGCGCGTTTTGGGATGTGGGTGGAAGACACTTACCGTCCTACCTTTGAATGTATAATGATGCGCTCCATGGACTAGTACGTCTTTTTTCCCACCCACCACCGCCCACTATTTCCGGACACGTTTTGTCACAAAACGTGTTGAGAGCACAGAATTCTGTTCGTACCACTTTTGAGCGTTTCAATGCGACGTGAGGGCCATGCCATTTAGACAGCATTTCCACAAGCAGTTTCAATCGAAGCGAAATCACCTGTTATAAATGTTAAGAGTTACTTAAAATTTGCTGGACGTAAACATTCTCACGGCGAGGCACGGGCAACCGTCCTAATCGCGGAATTTCTTCTGCGATGGTTAACATAATAAAACAAGAAATTCACGACATGTTTTGAACAATTCACGGAGCTTCTCAGCTTCATCTCATCCTAGTCGCATGTTAAATACCTCATTTGCCTGTAGACCTATTCTTAGCTCTCGCCATCGGTTGTTTCGCCTGCAGCACGTTTCCGTTCTGCCACATCTGACGGGCTGTACAGGAGGGTGAAACCGGAGATTTTGGATTCAGGGAGAACAGCTTTCCGGAATCTTGTTACAATACAACGATCTGAACATTGACAAGGACGTTATATTGGCCTTAAGTTACACTAAATCTGTCGCTACTTTCCCTACTGTAAATGGAGTACAAAGAGGGTTTGGGATAATTTGGGACCGACATTTGCTATGTATTGATGCAAGGATGCAATGTTAACTCTTGCATGTACTAGTATCTAGGATTGTGCCAGGTCGTCACGTCGTGACCAATCAGCATATATGCCAAGCGACAATACAGCGTAAATTGGATTCGCGTGAGCCATAATTGGAATGTGATGCAGGATGCAAGAGTATGAATCAAAAGATAACGAAACATGCAAACGTTTAAAAAATTAGTTGAACGATCTCTCAATTTTCTGGTCACTCAGAGTAAAATGCATATTACACCACCACCTGTCACACCAGCTATGCAGGAGAGTTCAACACTCGGCGATGTTGGAATAATTATTTCGGGCACATTTGCGGGACCTTGTTGTTACAGTAGGGCTAATGATGTGTCTGGGTGCAGCCCATTAGTGGTGACTCTCACCACCAGTTGATGACACTTAACCCACATGGCAGGCAGGAAGTCTGTACAGAGAGTGGCACAGGTGTCAAACGTGTTTGGCAAGGTTCTGTGAGAATAAAAAATAAGGAACTGACACGATGTGTAATTTACCCCCTAAATTGTATCATTTTTGTATGTAATAAACAAATCAACTGCATTTGGTACGGCTCAGGGATAGTTGTATAAATAAAGACCGACAGGGTATGTAATCCCCACCCCACCCCAAAATGTACCATTTATCTATACATTGAATCAGATGAAATATGTAGGCAATATAGTTCAAAACATGTCTTTCAAAAAAAGTCATACTAGAGTTCCACAATCTCGTACCTTCACTAAATGATGTCCATTCTTATGATTCTATAAGGTATTCTTAAACATAGATAAATGTACCAGTATTTGCCATTTTTCATAAATAATAAAGTAACAAAAGGCAGGAACGAAAACAACTTGTGTCACAAGTCAACATTTGTTTGTATCTGTATAGCTGCTATAACCACCCTTCAGCATAACGCACTAGCTTTGCAGGCATGTAGCTGGTTATATTACGCTGAATGGCCTGTCACACCTGACATTCATGAATCATACATGTAACAAACAGATGTCTAAAGCTATCTAGTCAGGATTGATATGGAGGCATTATCTTCCCAGCGTTCACTGCAGGCAACCTGTTCTACACTGGTTGATATGAAAATGATATAGATCAAGAAGCAAAAAGGAAGGTCTTCTTGTTGATTTCAGTCTGCTCTCATCTTTGGATGGTCTTGAGTTGGTCTTGTAGCGTGTCTGTGACCTCCACACTGGGGAAAACACAAGACCAAATAACATGTTTTACTGTTGGAAGGATAACAAAGTGCTATCAACACAAACAATATGAACTCATAGAAACATTGCACAACAATTGTATAAGGCACAGTATATGGCATCTATTGTTATATGACAACAAACTTACTACCCTTACTACCTTGGCACTGATCTACCTTTACAAGACTATGTCATATGGGATAAGAGTGTGGTTTTGATGGAGTTTCTAACATTTGCACATTTCTTAAAAATATTGTCCTATAAGTACAATCAAGGAGGATTTTTGTAATCTCTTTGGCACAATGGATATCAATGTATGTCATATGTCAATATGCACTTAAATTTGCTATTTGAATCCATTGGGAGAGATCCTAGGAGACAAACCTCGTATACAGTAAATTATTTACATGTCTTAATTTGGGAGATACAGAGGAAAGATCCTCCCAGAAAACAGCTGGCCCTGAGGCCCATGTTACCTGACCTATGCGCTGGACTACAGAGGCCTCATCAAAGGCATACAATTCCTTTGACTCCTCCACAGTTATTATGTAGGAAATTACCACATGATAACCTAGTCACCATCAGAGGGCCTGGCTGGCTGTGTCAAAGATAGAATTTATAATTACCTACTCGCAACCATGTACATGTAACAGAACATCTGGTGACCTAAATAGACTCCATGTAACAGGGGGATATTATGTTATTTGGGCCAATTTTGAGCTGGATTACTAATATCAATTCACTGTATAAACTGTCATTCTATATGATCAGTGGAAAAAGTGCTTCCTCAAACCAAGGAAATTGTGACTACAGAAGAACTTGTTTTTAAACTTAATTTGAAGCAGTGACTCAGTCCAGGCACGAATCAGGCACAAATCAATTCAGCAGGCAGAACTGAAGGGTTTACAGCAGTTAATGGATTTTTTCAATATGAGACCTCTGGCTTTACGAGCCATCAAAAACTGCCCAAACCAAAGCTAGGTACTCATTTTCACTTGACTTGAGTGAGAAAATTGGTGTTAAGTTCCTTCACAAGAACACAAAACTGGGGCCTGCAAGATACTTTAATGGTGAACCTTTAGATTACATGTCACTAACCCTAAACCACAATGGCCGCCACAAGAAAAGTGGGACATTGTTAATCACACAAAAATACAAGACTTCATACCTTCTTTCTATGGCATCTGCCCTGTACAGAAAGAAACATTTAAGATACATTGGTGAAGGTTCGACATCCATGTATAACATTACATAATACAACAAAATAAATCAATCAACTGGACAAATTCTCTGAAGTGTTAGATGTTTCAGATAGCATCTGCTATCTTTCATCAAGCAGAAAAGATGTTATGCCTAAAATAAAAAAATTCAGCAAAAAAATATTCAGAGTCAGACTGATTTTACTTACTGAAATTGTAGATGGGCTGCTATAATGCTCATTTTCTTTAAATTCTGAAAGAAAGAACAACATGTATTAAATGCATAGTCTAACTTTAAATGATATTTCCATCAATTTTCTGTGACATACCTCTTACTTGTATTTCTGTTGGGGTTACCACATACATATTACTTAAATGATCTAATAATTACCTGGTCTGAGTTCTCAAGTGCTTTTTCCTGACTGGCAAAGTTTGTAGCAGCTTGGGTCAAGACCTATGAAAAAGAAATACACAATGTAGATACTGAGAGTTAGGCTTGTCACCATAACAGATTGGAACAACATGAATATCTAGTTTCAATCCTTCAGCATTTCTTTTATGCTACATTTGTATCTATTGTCTCTCTGTATCTTAAAAATCCTCTCCCTTACGAGAGACAGTCTTGGTTTCAAGGCCATTATATTTTCAGAAACAAGAAATCAGAGAATTCAGGATTCCGTTAAGTACAGTCTTGGGTTTTCGTGAATTTATCACAACCAAGGAGCTTGTATGACATACTAGGACAAAAACTGCAGGGCTGGGGGGTCGCTCATGCAATCTTTGGCTTCCTGAATTCCCCCATATCAAGGTTTGAAAAGGATCAATGCCCATCTCGACCTCCTGGACATATACTGGGCCTTTCAAGTTTAGTAATACCTTGATACGCCGAACAGGAGAGATGATATCTGGATATAACATGTTATCCGCCTTCTCTGTAGTTGACCTTCTATCAATCTTCCCCTGTCAATCTTCCCCATTCACTTGCTGTCAACCAAGTCTCTCCGGACTACTAGTTAACATTTATCATACAAACCTACAGCTCTGCAACCCAAAACAATACTTCCGTACCAGGAAGTAAAATCATGCTGAGAAATAAATGTTAAATACATTTTTGATAGCCTGTGGCTATTGACAGGACGGTCCTTTGAATAGTACCAAAAATGGCAGGACAGTCCTTTCAGCAGTACAATACTTTCTGTTATGGTATAATTTGACAGTGTTTAAGTGTTATATAGCCACAGGCTTTTCGATAGGATGTTCCGCCACTAAAAATCACCCCTCTCTGAGCAAACAGCACATATTTCTCTCACCTCAGATGACCTTGAACCCCTTAGAAGCTGCCGACACAATGACCCTGTATCATTTATGTTTCCTATAATTTTGTCCGATATTTTTGTTTTCGGGTCCAACTTTGGACTGGAAGTCATCTTGTCCACAACAATGTCAGCCGCAATTCGGCCCACTGCTGTCGTAAACTACGTTGCTATTTGAGTTTGATAAGATAACGCAAGGATACCAGTTAACACTAACGTTAGAGTCCACCCTGTGTGCAATTTTATTAATAACAGTGACGTTAACAGAATTATGTACCACAAGCGAATAAAAAGTAGGCAGCATTCAGCCAAGCAAGACGGATGACCGGTTTGCGGCATATTAGGGACCAACCATTATTGAATATCCCGTCTAACCGGTAGCGTTATCATCCGTTAGTAAACATGATTTAATCTATTTTGTCAAAATTTACAGCAAGGTCCTCCATGTTGTCAACAGGAAATATTGATTTTGTCATAATTTTGTAGCATATTCATTCAAGTGCCAGTAACGATAGGAACTGCTTGAATGCAAACTGTACAGCCCGAAAGCAGCATGGAAGATGGCGCGAAATTTGCCTGGCAGCGGTGAGATCGTTCGGATCTGCGAGATTTTTCAAAGGGGTGCCGAGGAGTTTGACGGTCGAGCCGTGCGGGTGATGGGGAAGTAAGCCCAGCTTTCAACTGCAATAAATCTGAGAAATAGCAAAGGCAACTTGCCGTTAAATTTCCTGCATTATTGGCAGGATCATCCTGTCAATAACACTAACAGAAAAGTTTCACTATTGACAGGATGATCCTATCCTGTTAAAAATTTTCTCAATATTGACAACATGATCGCCTTAGGCTTAAGTAAATTTATAGTTTTATAGGTTGTATCTTAAAAAGATATGAAAAACAATTAACAAAATATTTCATAATGGGGTTCAAATCCAATGCTCTAAATCTCTCTAATTAAAAGATTTGGTGAAGCCCTTTTCTTAATATGTTGGAAAGCAGTTTATTTTTCCACGATAGTCAGGGCTGAAGTACTCGAAGTATCTAAGGAGGCCATGAATTTTTATGATTCGTCTCATTTCCTGTTGCCAGACTGGAGACCCACGACATTGTTGACTGCACTGCAGAGTTGTCCAATGTTGAGCGGGCCCAGAAGAGCAGTCCACACCAGGAGCTAGCCGTCAACACAAGACTTATTGAACCGTTTCAAGCAAGACTTGGTTCCATCTTCCAGATGGTTGGAGAGGTGGAGTTTACAGCACATGGACCTCTTCTGCACGCTCGAGTCGTAAAATGTGTGGATGGGATAGACACTGCAGTGTACTATAGAGTATTAGATATGCAAAGACATTATTTAAAAGGAAGATTGGCCCTCCAAGTATGAATTGACACCAGGTGTGAAAACAGATCACATTTTGTACAACTAAGAACTGTGATTGAATCAGAGTATATAAGATAGATGAGAAGATTAGCAGTTCCACACATGTTTATAAGGAACTAACGTTTATGTTATAACGTTATGTGTGCTTTCAAGAAGTCTTGAAGTTGAACAGATGAACATTGCATTTCTCACTTCTCTTCATCTTTTTTTCAATCATTGCTTTTATCACTTATATTACTGCTAGACAGCTTATGCATTCAGTCAGGTTGGTTTGTGGGTGGATGAGTGGGTGGGTGGATAGCGTAACTCAGAAAAGAGCTGGACTGATTTTTATAATTGGGGTAACTGCATTGGATCCGATGCCTCTGATAAACGCATCCAATGCAATAACGACATCCAATGCAATATATCCCAGTTTCGTGGCAGTAAAACTGGATTTTTAAAGTCAATTTCCTGGTCATTGTAGTAGATTGAATCATGGAGGTAAAAATCAATCACCTCCATGATTTTTACCTCCATGACATGGTTTAATCAATCATATGATTCATATCCCATAGCATACTGATATGTGTGAGGTAAAAATGCGATGTCACTGATGGAAAACGGCTGATTATTAAAATTTATTTTATATCGTAGGCTGGTTTTAGCTGTTCTATATTGGCGGTACCCAAGAAATAAAGGGACTCCTCACGTCCCACCCCACTTCCGAGTGGAATCTTCGGTCTCCCCCACTGTTTTAGTGGAAACGTCCACAAGAGCATCATGGGATACAAAATGGAAGACTGAAGCCGATTTTTATTGCAGGTTCAGATGCAATCCTGCATTCTTTTGATTTTCCTGGCTTTAGAGGACAAGTATCTGGTGTTTTGGTCATTCAGGATGCTGTCTCGTTACATACTATCAGGACGACGTGATTTATACTCGCCTTGCTCGTCACGAACCCGAAGAAGAGCACCGCAAATACTTTTCACGAACACCGATAATTTACCGGAAGCTTTGCCCCGGAATTTTGGTAATGCGTTTCGGTTATTGTTGACTCGACGGCGTCCAAAGCTTTTGAGAAAACGTCAGTATGGACCTGACTGTCTGCCAACAGTTGGAAAAGTTAGTAGAAGAACTGACTACCAGCGGGCAGCATCAGCTGGACAAGGCAACTGTCAAAACACTGAAAAAGATATGCAAGTAAGCCAGTGCTCTAACGTTACTTCCTAGACTGATAAGTGATAACTGATGTTTTATTTCAACATAGACAAGAATATTTAACAAACTCCGGTGTCTGTTGTAATAACTTTTTATGGTACACTAGCTGCCAAACATACAAAAGTACTACTAGTAGGTGTAAATTGCCTTTCCCAAGGCCAGGGTGCAATATTTGTTCCTCTTGGGACCCAGATTATGATATTAAAATAAAGAGCCCTAACTAGAACACCCCCTTTTGTGTATCCTTATTTTGATATCTAGACATTTCTAAAACGTTGTAAATACTCCCTACCCACAGGACATCAGATGACTATGTGAAGCACACGTATCACCTGCTGAACATGCAGCTGCAGAAGGACCATGCTGAAATCAGACTCTCAGCCTTCCAGACAATGGACGAACTCTTCCAGAGGTCCCATGCCTTCAGGGAACTCCTCATAGCAGAATTTCAGGTAGAACATTGCATAATATAACTTATGAAGTCTTTTAGGATATTTCAGATTTTATACAGTATCTTTCATCTATGACTGAGAATTATTCTTGTTCTTGAAACATTCTGTCAGGAATTTACCCAGTTGATTGATCATTCATTTCCATTTGATTTATTTTGTATCAAGTAAGGGTACTCTTTGTCAGCACTAGAACATTAGCAGATGTTTGATAACTTCATTTGATTCCAATGACTGTATGGCCTTAAACCCTTCAGGAATTTCTAGAGCTGACTGTGGAAAGCAACTATGACTTCCCCCTGCCACCTCCCAAGGCTGCAGCAGATAAGCTCAAAAAACAGACTCTTCAGGCTATCCAGCGCTGGCACGAGCAGTTTGGGCAGGCCTACAAGAAACTGACTCTGGGCTATAACTTCCTTAGGTACAACAGAAAGGTAAGAACTGCTCCTATTCAATATGTCTGAACCTGCCTTTGTTATTATTACTGTACATTTTGATGGTTCACTGATATATTAGTTATAGCAAAAAAAGGAACAGCTATTTACTCATCTTGTACCCCATTTTTCCTGGAAAAGTTTCGTGGCTCATAGTTAAGTGGGAGTCTACCTCTTTACAGGTGCAGTAGTGCATTTTTAGACTTGTGTGTATTGAGAATAACACATTTTTTTACATTCTGCACATTTCAGATTGATTTCAGCAACATTGCAGCCAGCAGTAATGTTGAGAGGACCAGACAGGAGCAGGAGGCAGCCAGGATACAGGCTATTAAACTGCAGAGAGCCAAAAATGCACTCAAGGAAATGGAAGGTAAAAAGAAGGGTTATTTTCATTGCCTGTCTTGCATCCTTTGCTTGTACATATGAAATATTCAATGTACACTATTGAATGTATGCCCTGAAGCAATGTATATTTTTGTTCATTTCAGAAACAAAGCCAGAGATAGATGAATGTTTGACTCAGGCAGAGTCCTGTTTCCAGCTCCTAGTGCCTCGAAATGACGCCATGGATTCAAAAATCACTCCACCCAGGAATGGGAACCAAGATACAAGCAATACTCTACCCACTACCTCGCATGGAGGAAGGCAAATCAGAAAACAGCTGGATGGAGATGATCTCAGTTGTGATTCTGTGTCATGCAAAAGTCACATAGTAAGGACTAAGGAACAAGCCAGGGCCCGACAGCTGCCTGCGGGGGAAGGTTCACTAGTGTCAGGGGATGGGAAAAAGGAATGTATCAACAATGGGGGAGATTCAAACACCCCTCCTGGGGATGGACAGGAGGGAGACAGTGATGAGGAGAGTGATGGTGATGTAGATGAGGAGGATGTGGTGAGGCATCATGGTCTTGGGTCCCACAAGTACAACATCAGCATAGAGTTTAACCCAGGTGAGGGCATTATTCATATAGGAGTAGATTAGATCAACATGATTTTTACCCTCCATGTAAATGGGGGGTATTGTTTTTACTCCGTTTCATGTTTGGTCTGATATCTGAAGATCGGTGAGAAGGAACTGTATGATATTTGGCAGATTGATGGATGGGGCCTTGGAGATTGTGTAGGTTGACTTTGAGCACCTGGTGATTGACCTTGGTACTGCAGTTTAATTTTTTTATTCTATTGTTGGCACGTTATGGTCCGTGTGTGCGATGCTAAGGTAGCATGTAGTTGTGGTTACAATGGTTTAGTGATGTAAATTTGGGCCCCCTAGCTGTTTGCTTTGAACCGGAATTGCTATCTCAATGTCAGATTGTTTGCGTTGAATGATCTCAGAACCCGGTGGATGGTTGGCGATCATTTTTGGTATGTGGGTAGACGCTGATTGTCTTTGCGTTTTAGCGTGCATTAGCAGGTTGTCGTAGATTTGCATTGCTTATTTAAAAGGATTTTCACATTTTCACCCCTATTTCATAATAGGAT